TCTGTGAAATCCAGAATGAGTGGGCTCTACCTCAAGGAAGAAACTGAAGCTTTAAATGCATGTTTGACTGAGTAAATTACCCAGCAACTCCTCTGAGCATCCAGCTGGAGACAGGCAGAGGTGAAGCTCAGAGAGAAGCACTGCAATGGGTTTTATGTAACAAAATTTCCCTCTCTTGGTGGGAAGGAGGATGCTGAAGGCTTTGGAAACACTCTGATATCCTTGATTTCTTCCACATCAGAAGGGGGGTTTCTAATTAAACTGTTGTTAATGTGTTGGAGTTAATGAATAAATGTGGATTCGAGCCTCAGCATTAAAGACTGAATATGAGAAGATGTGGGGTTGTTTAGGTCTGGGGGTTTATTTTAGCAGCTGTAAAAGACAGATCAGAACCCATTCTGCCTTTCAAACATGGAATTTCTACCCATGGCAAAACGATAAATGATGGAGAGCTCTCCTGTCAGCAGAGGAACAGAGTAAATAACATTTTGTTGCTGACTTTCCTTGAAATGGGCAAATTCCCTTCAGCCCATGGCTCTGCAAATCAGGGCAGATTTGGATCATCTCTGGATGTGCAGCTATTGCAGAGCTTGCACTGGACACTGATCTCCTTATGCTCCTAAATCTGCTGCCTTTTTTAGCCTGGTGTTGGAGTCTGAGACACAGAGTGTGAGCCCTGATCTCTGCCTCTGACATCCTGGAGAACACTGAATTTCATAAACATGGAATTCATGGGTGTGTTTTCATGGTGTTACATGAACACAACTGCTAAAGTCAGATAGAAAAGCTGAAAATGTGAATGTGTAGATTAGAGAGTTTTCTTTTTTCACTGGCTGAAAAAGTTAAAGTTTAGAGTTTAAACTAGTTTAGAAAATAGAAGACAAGATGAAGGGTTTAGAATATTGTTTCTTTTCCTTCTTCTTTCTTCATGTTCTTCTTCCAGAGGTTTTTGGGTAGCAGGAGGTGATTGGATAGAAAATGTCACAGTGCAGCTCACAGGTGATGGGTCATTGGGTCATTAATAAAAATAATTAACATGTCTATTGTTAATTTGGTAAGAATGAGTATAAAGATAAAAGAACTGAGTAGTTCAGGGCCATTTTGAGCCTTCAGAGCCCAAAGTGAGCCACAAGGGCAGGATGAATTGAACTTAAGAAAAAGTCTGGAAAAGTCTGCCAAGTTTTGTGATAAAGAAATGATAAATAATAAACACAAAAAACAAGATCCTAACGAGCTTGGGAGTTTTTGTGCTGACCCAGAGAGATGAGACAGGGAATATTCCAGAGGAGCCCAGCTCAGAGAAGCTGAGAAATCCAGGAGTGAGAGAAGCACAGCAGAATAAAGAGAGAAAAACCAAGAAAGTTATAGTTGGGAACACAACATCTCTGCTCCTGTGTTAATTCTGCCTCAGTGTCTGAGCACAGGGACCCCCTGAGCCTCATTAGAGCAGAAAAATGAACTTTTTACTGGCACTGCAGAGGGTTTGTCACCAATGTCACCAGCTCTGTCCTTGGCTGGGGTCAGGGACAGCAAAGCAGGTTTGGAATGGGAGCAGCTGAAGATTTCCCACACCAGGCCGTGCCCCTTACACCAGACTTAAATTAAAAATCAGAAATCATTGCAAAAATGATTAAAGGGCTGGCCAGGGAGTGTTTCAATAACTTCTGTTAAAAACATCCCATGCTCCAGCTCTGCCATAAAAACAGAAAAGCCAAGTAGGTAACTTTTAAATGACTTTTTTTTGTCATTAGGACAGTGTCTTTTAGCCAGAGAGGAACACAGATGGCCCTCAAGACACCTGTAATTCCTTCTCTTCAGTAATAAACATGCAAAATGAATAATGAGCAGGCACCTGAAGCCAATAGAAGCCCTGTCCACAAGCAACACTTGCTGTGACCCTATAATTTTATTTTCCTAATTTTTTTATATTTATATTTAATAAATATAAATATATATTAATAATAATTAGAATGTGAATAATAATAATAATGTATAATAAAATAATAATAATAAATATAAAACAAAATAACAACAAATATAAACCAAAATAAAATATAATATAATAATAATAATAATATAAAATAGAAAAAAGTAAAATAAAATAATAATAATAAATATAAAATATAATAATAATAACAACAAATATAAACCAAGATAAAATAAAATATAATAATAATAATAATAATAATAATAATAATAATAATAATAATAATAATAATTTTATATATATAATAAATAAAGTTTTAAGTTTTAATAAAACTCCTGCAGCTCCTGGGATTCTCCCAGCCAAGATCAAGGTTGCCTTTTCTGGATTTCTGAGTTTTCAGACACCAGCCTGGTTTGATGCTCCCTGCTGCTGCCAGGGTCTGTAAGGACAAGCAATTTGACTGGGGTAAAATGCATTTAACACCCAGAACTGCTCCTGTTCCATGCTAATGGTGCCACAGCTTCGCTGGCTCATCCCACTCTGTCAGCTTGGGGGCTGAATTATGGTTTTAATATCTCGCTCTCTGCTCTGATTTGTTCCTCCTTGTGTTTCTGGATAATCTGTTGTTGGAGACACTCAGGCTGCTTGTCACAAAAAGTGGGGTTTTTTGTGTGGAAAGCTCTTCACAAATTCTGTGTGGCTGTGATGGGAACATGTTCAGGATCTGTGAATCTTCCAGAACACTGGAGCACAAATTCCTGACAGAACAGAAATACCTCTTCACACTTCATGTTTTAATTAAAACAATCAGCACATTCCAGTGTGTGTTATCCCCACTTATATTTTTTCATCCAGAATGCATCTTCATACATTCTTTACCGGTATTTTACTTCAAACATTTAATGAGCAGCACAGAAAATGCAACATTGAATCAATTTGGCTTTTTTTTTCTAATAAACTCTTCCCAAGGCACTACACATGTGGATACCCCTTAACACACATTAAGCACGCAGTGGATCAGAGTCTGGATTATTATTATTCAGAACTAAGAACTGTGAATGTATTTTGCTTTTCAAAATTCAGGAAAAATCCAGCAGAGGCTTTTGAGTTATCACAGGAGTCAGCAGGTGTTCTGAGAATGAGGAATTGGAGAGCTCAAGGCCTCAGAGCTGTAAGCACTCCTCGGTTTGAAGAATTTAGAAAGGTAAATAGATACAAGAAATAATAATGAGAAATTCCATTTAATGCAGGACAAAGGCAGGAGGATGTAGAATTACCCTTAATGAAGGGTTTGAGGAGCTCAAACCAGGCAAAACCTTCAGACAACTTTCCCCAGCTGAATTCATCCGTGGATTGTGCAAATCACAGAGGGGGAAGAGTGAAGATCCCTCATCCAAATCTAATCCAGCTGTGGAGAGTGACATTTTTACAGGTTAAAAAGGAAAATAAAATAATTAAAACTACCAGTTTTGGCAGTTCTGCCACTCAGGTGTAATTTTTGACAGCATTTTTGGTTCAGGTACCCAAAACTGAGTGTTACTTTAATTTAATGACATTTCACCCATTGGGTCATTAAGATCAGTCCATTTGTTTCCCTTGTTTTTAATTATCTTCTGTGGAGTCATTCTGGTTTTCTACTGGTGTAAACACATCCCACCCCATGCTGTGGAATTTGCTTAAAAAATTTATTTACACTTTTCTGATTTCACCAGGACTTTAACTTGAAGGTGTTTAAACCAGCAAGGAAACAAAAAGATCATCTTAGAAGGAAATGGAGCCAGCTATATTTTAATTTTATGACTGTTCATTTTCTTACGCTGGCAATTCCCAGTCAACAACTCAGGTGAGAGTACATGACATTTTTAACCACCAAAACCCCATAATTTCGAAGTAACTATGGGCTTCTGCCTGTTATTGCTTAAAATTCAACAGAGGCTGCCTCAGAAATGAGCCTTGGAGGAAACCAAGTCTATTATCCCTGCTAGCTGGGGCAATGGCAACCATCATGAAAGTAAAATTACTGCCATTAAATCAAGAAACTAATTAGAATCAGATCATCAAGCTCCTTTTCTACTGGAGCCTTGCTCTCCTGGCATGGGATAGGGTGATTTACTCCGGAGTACGCAGCAGGGCTGAGCCGAGTCTGTTGGTTTAGTGCTTTTCTGACACTTCCAGAAATTCAATAAACAGCTCCAGAAGGTTCAGTGGCATTTGTGGGTGTGGATGTGGATGGCTGGATCTGGTGGCATTTGTGGGTGTGGATCTGGGCTGGCAGCTCTCAGAGAGGAAGGCTGGGAAGACAGAGCTCAGGAAATCTGGCTGATGCCTATGGATGGAGTCAGAGGGAGCAGAACAGGAGCCTTCAGCTGAATGTCTCAAACACAAAAATCCTGGCCTTGATTTCCTCCCTTTTTCCTTGTGGAGAGGCCTCCCTCTGCCAGCCCTGCCAGCAGAGATCAATCTGATACCACATGGGAGGGTCACTGGCTGTGCTCGAGCATCTCAACCAGAGAGGAGGGATCTCCCACGAGGAGACCTTGACTGAGGCTCTGAAATCCCCTTCATCCCACCTTCACTTTGAGCTCCGTGTTTTCCACATTCTGCCCTGCCCAGGTGTGCAGTTTGGAGTCTCACATTCAGTGTCAGGGAGCTCTCTGCACAGAACAGGCAGACAAAACTATTTATTTTCTAGATTGACACCAAGGACAATCGTTACAAGTTTCAGGCCCAAGAGCAGAAACAACTCTGGGCTGAGGAGAGAAACGAGAAGGATGGGACTGCAAAACCTGAAACTGTGACTGGACAATTAACCCTGATATGCAGATGGACCAAAACTTATAAAAATGTGAGCCCTGGTGAGCAGTTGTCCATTTGGTGACCATTTTTTTGTCCATCTTGGGTGCAGCCCTGGCCAGGCTCTTGTGCTGCCCAAGGTGTGCCCTTTAGGGCCTTTCAGTAAATCCCTGCTTTATTCTTAAATATCTTAAATGTATATATATAATATTAAATATATTATATATATAATATATATAAAAATGCATATAAATATTATATCTTAAATATATGTCCAGAATCCTCTCAAGGCATCAGCACATCTGGGAATCTCCTGGCCATGGCAGCCTCTCACCCGGAACCTCAGCCTGCCAAACTCACTGCCAGCTTCCTCCTGTCGATGTTCTCCTGCTGTGAGAGGTTCAGCCACTCAAACAGAGCACACTTATTCCAGAAATATCCACCTGTGAGCTCAGGAAACCTGGAGAAAAAGCACAGGACTCATGAAGTTCTCACACTGAGGATGGGAAAGGTGATTCACTCCAAACCACAAGCCATTAGACAATTTTACATTATCAAAGGTTAATAATGAATAACAAGATGCATCTGTCACAGCAATGAGAATAAGAATCCAGGCTGTGCCCCCGAGCTCACAGGAGTCATTTACTCTCTGTGCCTTTGGTTTGCCAGCACTGTCCATTATTTTCCCTGTCTTTGGAGAGTAATCAGTGTTTTAAATGTTCTTCAAAATGATATGAGTCAGTACAAATTGTGTTCCCATTTGTACCCTTAACTGGGTTTTAAGGCCATTTTAGGCATCTGTATATGCTCATAAGTCTGTTAGGAACTCTTAAAAGCCTGAACTAATTTGGGACCAAAATTGACACCTGAGGGCCATTCTATTAATGGGAGTGGAGAGTTAACAATTTTACAGTCGTTTTGTTTATAACCAGAGGGAAGGACAGGTTTGCTCAGTAGCTGCAGAGTTACTCAGCACAGAGACCTGAGGAATGTTCCAGAAAGCACCAAGGAATTTGTCCACAAATAAAAATCACAATTTAAGATTATGGGGGCTATGTTTATTGAGGAGCTCTGCCTGAGATTAGAACAAAATCCTCAAATATCTACACACAAAAGTGGCACAAACTGGTTGCCAAACTTCCAATTAATCTTTATTTTCTGAATTATCAAACAGTTCCAGAAAATGAAGGGAGAAGTTCTTTCCCAAAAGATAAAATCACTCAAAACAAGTCACCTCCTTCCTGGAAGGGAAATGCTCAGGGCAACATTGATGTTCTTTCCTCCAGGACCATTTCTCAGAAATGAGTTTAAGCTCAGAAGAGATTATAAAACTCCTCTGAACTACAAAATCAATCCAGGTTTTCCAGTAGAAATAATATTCCACCAGCAAAAGACTGGGAAGGAAAACAGAAAATCCCTTGCAGATACGACCCACAGCGTGTGCAGGGCACTTCAGTAACGCAACAAATTTACTGAGGAACAAATAAATCCTGTGGGTTTAGGTTAAATACAGAGTCAGTATGAAAAGCTGCAATTTCTAAATTAAAGCATTTGCTGAACTGGCAAAATAACTCATCAGTTTGAAGCCAATCCTGAAAGATTCCCGGAAGAGTCAACTTATTACCAAAGCAAACGGATTAATAAATCCAGTATTGATCTGCCAAGAGCATGGGATGCCTTTGCTGATCCCTTTGGAAGCTCTTCCCACAAAAATGCCCTGGGAATTCAGCAGGATGGGCCACACAGGGAAATCATTAAGCAAAAATAATAAAAGGAGAGAAGAAAACGAAGGTAATCTCAAGCCTTCACCAGATGGGTTTCTGATTCTCCTCTTTCCCATGAATTAGTGTCATGTTCAGGCTGTAACATTCCTTGGAAAAACCACTGCTCTCCAATACCCAGCTATTTAAAGCACCCACAATAACTCTGTACAATGATTCTGTAAAAAGAACTGATGCAAACCTGCAGACAAGAAACCAAACTGAGCTAAAAACCCCTCTGGGTGTCCCTGGAAGCAGAAGGATCTGGGGATTTTTTTCCAGGCTGCTGTTGTAAAGCAGCACCGATTTATTCAGACACAAAAGATTAAGCGATGTTGGGGAAGATGTGATTTAGAAATTCAGTGTCTGGTGAGGATCTGGATGCTCCCATACAAATGGAGATTTGATAATGCTGCCTAATGGAACTTTATTGCATTTTCAGATGTTTTCCCATCGGGTTATTGAAATTCCTGCTCCTGTAAGAAGAGAGGACTCACGAGGAAATCTGCAGCTTGCAGGCACCAAAGGAGGGAGATAAAAATTTGCTCTTTCCCACCTCCTTAGGACAGGGTGAAGAAGGATATCTATCCAGCTGAAAGCACAAGGAAAATCAGGAAGGCAGGGCACTGGCCTTGCTGACTGGAACGTTTTTTCCTACACCAATCCCAAAGCATAATTAACAACAGCTGCCTACAAATATGGATTTGTTTTCTCCCTGTCTGAAACTCAGTGAACGGACTCACCATCTCATCTGTATGCAGAGCTCTGATCTGCCAGGGACACCTGCCAGTCTCCAGCAACTTTAGGCAAAGATCAATCCATTTTCTAATTAGGGATGGGAGTTAATGGCAGCTGAAATGGCCATTTTAAATACAGCAGGCCCTAAACAATGATTTCTCAGGGTGCTGCCTGCCCCAGAGCATTTCCTTTGTAATCTTCTCAGCCTCTCCACTCTCCTGGATGATTTATGGTGTCTGGGGGCTCCTTGGCAGTACTTTCTGTGCTGATAAAGAGGAAAACCTTGACTGTACCTTAAATTGTCAACAAATGCTTTCAAATTTCCTAAGAGTTCTTGTGTTTGCCCTTCGTATTTCCAGAGTTAAAAAAATGTTCCAGCCTGAAACTGCCCTTTGTGACAGAATAATGCCCATCTCATTATTGAGCCCCATGAACTTTCCCCACAAACAAAATGTGCTTAATCCCACTGGCCTCACCCCGTAATTCCCAACTGGATATACAGCCTCGTGGTGACAGCACAATTAATTCTGCTGGCATCATTAATGAGAGGCTGATTAATTGAGAAACACACCTGGCAAGAGCGAGTTTCACGGGCTAAGAGGGATATTACAACTTCAATAGAAGGAGAAATCAAAAAGCCTTTGCCCACAGCAAGGAATTCAACAATTGTGTTTAAATTGAATATAACATGTGATAAAGAGTTGAGCTGCAGTCAGAGTCTGTCACTGGCTCTCACACAATTTTATTTATGGCTCTATATAGGCCCAGCTCCATGACTTTAGCAGGCAGAAACCTTAATACCTTGTGACACAACTGGGCTGAGCCATCTAATATCACCCACAGATCCTTGAAAAACAAACACTCCTTCAAATAATTATGCTGTTCCAACATATTAACTTCCCAGGCACTGATGAAATGTCCCTGTTTTAGGGAAGACCACTGAAAAGCCTTGTTTGTATCCCGGGCTTCACATCAAAAACCTTTAATATTAGGATCACACTCTGCTCTGAATAAATGTCAGAGAAATAAACTTGACTGAACAATATATTTTTCATGCTCTAAAATGAATTTTAAAAAGGACCTAGAACAGGAAACTACAAAGTCTTTAACCTCCAAGGGGAAAAAAAATCAAATACCACTCAGGTCACTAATAATCTAATGTCAACTCTTCCCATAAAAAACGGGCGATGATAAATAATCAAAGCATTTAGTGAGAGCTGTGGGGATCTGGGTTATTCTCAGTTATTCTGTGTTATTCTCTGTGCATGTTGATTAGAATTTTAAAGAAAAGGTAATGTTTCTCCCAGCCCTGTTTCCCCCACGATTTACAACCCAGAGCATGAAATCTCTCTTTATTTTCCAGATCTTTCCAGACCCTGATCTCCCTCAGCCTGGCTGCCACATTATCTTCTCGAGAAGGAAACACCTCAGAGCAGCCAGTGCAAGGTGAACCTCTGGGCTGGAAAGTTTTAGGCAGCTTTGGCTGATCTAAACGGCACAGAATTCCATCATTGCATAATTCCTGATTCCTGCCTCCATGAGCTCCTGGCATTGAGCTGACTCCCACCTCCTGCAGTGGGATAATTGCCCTTCCACTCACACCTCCCTCTGATCGCTGCTCTCATTTGTATGGGCAGAAAAGGTAAAAGAAATGTTTATCCCATGTGAATTATTTTAATTTCTTGCAGCAAACTACAAGAAAAGAGCCGGCCCCGAGCAGCCCACTCAGCAAACAACTGAATTTTAAACGTGAACAATGTGTAGGCAGAGATGTTTATTCCACTCTGCTTTACACTCCACTGCAGCAATGCATTTATTACTCTCCTGCATCCATCTGGCCAATCCTTCTTTGTGTTCAATGTAGAGATCAGCACAAGAGCTCTCTGTTCCAAGGGACACAAGATCACTGCACTTCATCAAATGGGAGAGAAGACAAAACCTCTGTCCTTTGGCCAGGCAGTCCAAACTCAGCGTGAGGATAAAACCCCAGCGACAGACAACACACTCTGCATCCCAGGACTGAAAAATCAGCTTTTCTTGCCAAAAGAGACTTCACTGAAACAGAACAAACAAACAAAGGAGTTGTATTAGCTAACCTGAAATAGCAATTTTAAAGCAAGATCCCAGGAGTTGCTTTTGTCATGATGTAACCTATAGAATACCTGAAAATATGGGGAGATTTCATGCCCTGGAATACTTTTTGCATCTTATTTCCATTAAGTGTCACATCCAAAGCCATCTGCATTCATCTTTTTGGATGTAATACACTGTCCTAAAGGTAAAAAGGGCAATTTTAAAATCCCCTAGTGTTTCTCTTGCCTTTTCTGTCCTTATGGCAAAGCAGAGCTGTAGCAGCACACAATATTTTTCACAGAAGCCACTGTCACAACTCTGGCCAGTCCTTTGTGAAAGACAAAGTTCACTCTTTAGAATTTTAAAAGTTTAATAAGGGATAAAAAGGGAAAATATCCAGTGCTGGGTTGGTTTTGGTGATCGGCTGAAAACCACACCGCTATACTGTGCACACATAAACTGATAGATTCTATTACACTACTACTATTATTATTATTATTATTATTATTATTATTATTATTATTATTATTATTATTATTATTATTATTATTATTATTATTATTATTGTAAATTGCACCGGATCAAAATACTTATGAGTAACAACACGCAAAAACTAACACATAAATGCGAAAGCCAATATTATATTGTCACTTGTAAAACCTTAAAACAGTGTTTTTGCAATGTATTGCCCAGATCCCTGTGAGGATTAAACCAACGCATTTCCCTCAGCCGTTCTCGGCCATGTTCTCCCAGCCCTGAAACGCTCCAGCTCCCCAGTGTCCTTTCCAAACCCAGGGAGCTACACCTGGGAATCCATGTGGGACAGAATTGGGGTTCGATGTGGGGGCATAGCACCGATCCTATAAAATAAATAATATAAAATATTTCGGGCCCGGATTTT